TTTTTTTGTTTGTTTGTTTGTTTGTTTTTGGTAACCGTAGTTCATCTAAATGCAGCTTTTTCTGAACTTTAAAGACAGAATCACTTTTTTTTTTCTGAGACAGGGTCTTGCTTTGTTGCCCAGGCCAGACTGCAGTGGCACCATCTCAGATCACTGCAACCTCCACCTCACAGGTTCAAGAGACTCTCCTGCCTCAATCTCCCAAGTAGCTGGGATTACAGCTGCCTGCGACCACGCCCGGCTAGTTTTTGTATTTTTAGTAGAGATGGGGTTTCATCATGTTAGCCAGGCTGGTTTCGAACTCCTGACGTCAGGTGATTCGCCTGCCTTAGCCTCCCAAAGTGCTGGGATTATAGGCATGAGCCACTGTGCCTGGCCAGAATCCCATTTTTAACAAACTGAGGTAGCAAAATCATCTTTTTCATTCTTTTAGGAAATAGCTATTGCCAAAGTGAAGGTGTAGATAATACCTAGTCTTGTTACATAATGGGGATGTGGTTTGCCAAAGAATTTTCTTTATAAAATTGAAGTTTCAAGGGATGTCAGTGTTTATGCCATTTTTCCAGTTTCAAAATTATTCCATTCCATTCTAGAAATTTGAAGTATGTAACTTGAAATCCTTAATAAAATCTGGATTTAATTTTAAAAAAAGAGAGAGAGAGAGAAAGGGAGTCTCAATATGTCGCCCAGGCTGGCCTTGAACTCCTGAACTCAAGGGATTCTCCTACCTCAGCCTCCTGAGCAGCTGGGGCTACGGGTGCACATCACCATGTAATTTTGTTTTTATGTTTTATTTTTACTTATCTGCATTTTCTAATTTTTTATGAGCAATTATACTGTGTGTACTAAAGAAACAAACACTTTAAAAGCTAAATTAAGAAATATTTTTTCTTATTAAAATAGTTTTACAAATACATGAAAATTTTACTTTGCTTTACATCATTTACAAAACATATTTTTTCACACAACCAGACATCATCCTATTATCTCCACAAATTTTGTAAAATATAATTTATATTTTTGTTTTATAGATAACAAATCTCAGATAATCTGAGCTGAAGTCATCTTCACAAAAGGAAAAGTGACCTAGCACTCTAGGTAACCAAATCTACAGAAACATTTCTTACTTACAGCTCTGAAGTTTCAATATACTTTGCAGTTCCTTCAATCGTGTTACAATATTCTGTGGCAAATTTGGTAATAAGCTGGAGTAAAGTAGCACTTTTATCATCCACGGGTTCACCGTAGCTATTTAGAAGAGACTGATACTGAGCAGCTAGAACATTTATTCTTGTTTTCAACTCTGGTAAGCAATCTCTGATGTGATGCATCAGTAACCTAAAAAAGGTTTTTAGAAAGGAAGGATTTAAAAGTAAAATAAGTCAAATTTTTAAAATGGGGAAAACCTATCAAATAATTTGTCCTGGCAAATGTGATACTGTGAAATATATATTTGGTATTTGTCTTCATTTCCTGGCAGTCAGCTCCTAAAATCCTTGGACTCTCCAAAAGCATGAGAGTGTTTAGAGTGTCTTTGCATGTTAATGAGATGACTGGTGGCTGGGAGTCCCTAGATAGCTTCAGGATGGGAGCTGGTCACCAGAACAGCCTCAGAAGAAGGGAGAGAGGCCAAAGGTTGAGCTGATCACCAGTGGCCAATGAAGTTTCCATAAAAACTCAAAAGGACGCAGTTCACGGAGTCTTCAGAGAGTAGAACACATGAAGGTTCCCGGAGTGTGGTGTGCCCAGAGAGGGCACGGAAGCTCCACATTCCTTCCCACATGCCCAGCCCTGTGCATCTCTTCATCTGGCTATTTACCTATATCCTTTCTAATATGCTTTATAGTAAATGGGTATATGTTAAGTAGTGTTTCCCTGACCTCTGTGAGCCACTCTAACAAATTAATCAAACATGAAACGGGAGTCATGGGTGCCCTGACTTATAGTCCATCAGTCAGAAACACAGGCTACAACGTGTGCTTACAACTAGCATCTGACTTGGGGGCAGTCCTGTGGGACTGAACCCTCAAACTGTGGGAGCTGACGCTATCGCCAGGTAAATAGTGTTAGCATTGAATTAAAGGACATTCAGCTACAATCCCCTGGAGAATTCCTTGCTTGATGTATGGGGAAAACTCCCCATGTATCTGCTCTCAGAAGCATTATGTGCCATACTGATTAACTGTGTGTAAATAGGAAAAAAACAATTTGTATTCGTTTTTCCTAAATCATAAAAGGAAAAAAAATGCAAATTATTTTCATATTACTGCAGTTACCACAGAGAAAGCAAGCCACTCAATCAATTCTTCCTATATAATTTTGGTTTCATTGACTTGTCATTTACAATTAGTAACCAGCAAAGTAAAAATCAACCTTATTAAGATCCAAATCTATCAGTCTTTAAGGAATAAAAGTAAGAGAAAATGGCTTCCACTTCAGTCATTTATAAATAATCTAGAAACATCTTCTAGTCCCCCACCATCAATGGGTATTCAGAATCCAACGTATACAACTTAAGTTATTTCTACAGTGAATAGGAATAAAAGACATTCTATTTCTTTGTTTTTCCATCTCCCTTTCCTGGTAAATAAAAGACATTCTAAGTTAAG